GTGCACAGACTTCTAAATTTAGTAACCACACTGGTGTGACCTACTGAGAACAGGCAGGTACTAGATACGTATTATGGGTGGTAGACAACATTTGATGTCATCCGCACTGAGCCTTTCGCCACGAGCATAGACAACATTTGATGTCATCCGCCTTTTGCCACGAGATGGCTGTGTTTCGGGTTGTCGGGTTGGGTGATGATCCCCAGCACTGCCAATGCCTGGTGTATATTGGAATTCGGGCTCCTGTTCAGTCCTCAAAAGGACGGATTCACTTACTTGACCATAAGATAAGCTGAATCAGCATGTCCAAGATGGGTGGTGCAGTCCCGAGACATGGGATGAGATTGCATTTGCCGCCATGGTAGTATTGTTCTCTCGTATTGAGGCAGAAATCGGTGAGGTGGAGGAAAAATAGGTTTCAAAGGGATGAAAGTTCCTGTCTTAGACAACCCCAGTGAGTAAAAAAAGTGACAACAACACTTCACGCCATCCCTCTGAACGGTTCGTGTAGACCAATAACCTTGAGCCTTCGATCAGATTCGGTTGTCAACGGTCAATACTAGACGCAACGCTTTACCACAGTCAAAAAGAAACGCGTTAATTCCGTACAGCTAAACAGGTAAACAAAGTCTGTTCACCTTCAGTTTTCCTGGCAAATGCTCACAATTCAACTGCACAGCTGTAATTTGGTTTGCTCACGAACACAGTACACAGCTCGGCATGGGTTGGCCTTCAAATACTACTTTGTTCGCTGTAAGTAGCCCAAAATGCTCGGGAATAGTCGCAAAACTACTTCCCTCTTAGTAAGGTGAATTCCGTCACAATAACCGATTTCGTGGTGCCTGAAAGGCATTTACTGTAAGGGATAATTGCTGCGCCAGGTATTATCTATTCGGGCATTTGTGTGTCGAACAAAAAAACGGATCGACAATAAGGTACCGACTCGTTTAAGACCAACTGATGAACCGTTGGGCCGCTTAGTTCTGACACAGGGGCTGAGGAAGTGTGGCCAAACCGGTCGGTGACTGATACATACAAACCAATCAACAACCCAAGTAGTTATTGACCTATGTGTCATATCCCGAACACCATATTTCGCTAAAGGTTATGGTCAAAAACGGNCGTACAGCTAAACAGGTAAACAAAGTCTGTTCACCTTCAGTTTTCCTGGCAAATGCTCACAATTCAACTGCACAGCTGTAATTTGGTTTGCTCACGAACACAGTACACAGCTCGGCATGGGTTGGCCTTCAAATACTACTTTGTTCGCTGTAAGTAGCCCAAAATGTTCGGGAATAGTCGCAAAACTACTTCCCTCTTAGTAAGGTGAATTCCGTCACAATAACCGATTTCGTGGTGCCTGAAAGGCATTTACTGTAAGGGATAATTGCTGCACCAGGTATTATCTATTCGCGCATTTGTGTGTCGAACCAAAAAAACGGACGACAATAAGGTACCGACTCGTTTAAGACCAACTGATGAACCGTTGGGCCGCTTAGTTCTGACACAGGGGCTGAGGAAGTGTGGCCAAACCGGTCGGTGACTGATACATACAAACCAATCAACAACCCAAGTAGTTATTGACCTATGTGTCATATCCCGAACACCATATTTCGCTAAAGGTTATGGTCAAAAACGGTGGTTCCGCGGGGGTGTGGTCACTAGATGTCCTTCCTAATCTGACATACGCCTGCGAAAAAACATCGCTATACGAAACTTGTGTTAATTTCATAACTATTGATGGTTAACAATACTCGCTTGTGACCGATTTCCCCCAGTTTTTCGTACTAGTAATGGTTTGATGAGTTTGATGACAGGAACCTATGAAAAGCATTCACTGCAAATACATAATGTTCCGATAATCATTCTTCGTTGTATGAGACAAAACTCCAGTCAGCTGAGTGACACAGTGTTTCCCTCAGTCCAAGAGGAATCCACAGCAAATATCCCCCTGCTGGATTTCTATAGAGGTCTAAGTTTATGGACATGCTATCCCACCCCAACCCACTCCCAAAAAGTAAGTCGTAATTCATAGAAAGTTACAGCAAGAGACGACTTCATCAACCGGGCGATAGTTCTGAACTATCGGAATGTTCCGCAACAACTGCTTAAACAAGAAAAACAAATTTCATTTTGAAGCCCTATAGATACTAATCCGCTTTAGTTTCTTTTCTTCATTACAGCTGTTTGGATCACATTCGGCCCACACTCAGCCTCTTCTTTGTCATCTTGAAAGTCACCCTCTCTTTACATATCCTTCTATGCATTCTTCCACATCGATCGATTGCACTCTTATATTTATGATCGGGCTGTTCAGTAGTAAGTACCACAATAATAACAGAGAGAGCTCAAGTGCCATACTTCCATGGAGGATAGGGTACTCAGTACGGAACGTAAAGGAAGGAAAGGATTGAGAACAGTAGAAAAGGCCGTTGGCAGAACGAACTTTTCACATTTTTAAATGGACTGACGGAACGGTTTTTGCGAAACCCGCCCAGGACGAGCTCAGGGCAGAAAGACAAAAGTTATTTATTTGTCAGTCAAGATGAGAATTGATCGTATGTTTGCCACCAGGGTCGGTTAAATATCTTGTCCTGTAAGATTTCTAACCCTGTCGAAAGAAAATCACGTGGAGCACACGTAAGTAATGCTCATGTTGCGGAATACCGATAGTTGGCCTTGCCCACGTTATGGGTACGTGTTACTAGTTAACATCGACTGACATCGATTGCACCAATGATCGCACTGAAATGATGTTGAATATGAACGGAGATCCAAGGTGTGAGCGCTCGAAAAAAACATCTCAAAACACTCAAACTGACGTCATGATAGTCAACCAGCAACTCAGGCAATTTTACCCTGTAGTAACCAATAAGAATTCACACCAACCTAACACATTACTTACAAGGTTGCTGAAAACTCTTCGGCAGCCCACGACCGGTTTCGCCTTTCTTGGCATCAGGTGGGCGCGTTCCCCGGGTTTTCGTCAAAATGCGTATCGAGAGATACAGCCTTAACTTATTACTCATAAAGTTCAAGTAGAACAAAGTTGGGACTACCTGATGAGTCCGAAACAGAAGGGCAAAACCGGTCATGGGCTGCAGAAGAGTCTTCAGTAACCACATGGGCAGTGCGTTGCATGTATACAATATATCACGATATCTCACATAGCGTACCAACTGAAGCCTGAGGCGACCTGGTGCAGCACATTCAGTTGCTTGAGAACATCATGAACGAGGTTCAGCTTGATTTCAGGGGAATTTCTCGTGAAGACTTAATTGATATTGCAATGAATGCATCTGTCGAACTAAGAATCCTTATCGAGTTAAACGTAGGAAGTACAATATACTGTTTGGAAAGCCCTTTCGGAGAGGCTGTCGCAATCCACTCTGCATCGCAAAAGAGCGCCCGCATCCGAGTATAGGCAAAAACATCCTCTCTCGTGATGGCCTCAAATCGGGGGGATTACTCTACTTAGAACAGTGAAAAACACGAATCCGAATGTTCTAATTTGTATACTGAGGGGAGAGTTTACTCACATCAAACATTTTTATTCATTTCTGCTTTCGTATGGGTAGAATAAAGCTGTGACTGACCTTGAACAGCCCCGTCAAGCACTCAACAAAACACCACAATGGTTAACATCACTCTTACTTTAGTATGAATTCTGACGCACTGGATGTATCGACCCACTATTTCTGTTCGTTCTACTATCGATCCATTCGTCACTTGACTCATCTATCCACTTGCGACTGACTGATCATTACTCACAAGGCGGCTTCGCCTTCGTCCATGGTGTCAGTTTCCAAGTGTAACCAGGTGCAATAAAATTTCTCTCCGTCCCTCGGCCGCTTTGAAAAAAAGCCATCCAACTTTCATTAGCTATTTAAGCTTTCGATCAAGAACGCTCAAATTCAAGGGGGCTAAACACGTTTGGTTTTATGTTCCTTTTTTCGGGGGGCAAAGAGCACTGAATGTTTTACAAATCAAATGGTAACTGACGATACAGTGAGAAATTATGACAAAGATACTCCGAATAAAAAACAACATGGTTGTCATATCAAGGTTGCTGTTGAGCCCAGAAATTTGCAGTTGTGAGTCGTATATTGCTTGGAAAATGATCTGGGGCTCACCAACGACACATGAACCACAACGCTCAGGTGAGGGGAATGCTCCGAAATTTTCGTTTCAGTCCGAATGGAAAACTAGGCTCATCGGTTTTTTGACGAGAGACTCAACTGCAATCCAGCTAAATCTCTCGTTTGATGTTTTCTAAGCTAATTTCGTGAAATTTGGGTTCAAGTAGAACATGAGGTTGACGGAAACTCGGGGACTGCGCCTGCCGGATGAGCTCTAAGAAGGGCGAAACCGGTCGTGAGCTGTCGAAGAGTTTTTAACAACCTTGTGAGTAGTATATTATGTCTAGGCTAATCGTTGTTAATCTTAGGCGGCCTGAGGAGAGGTGTGATTTTTTGAATAGAGGATCATGAAGAAATAAACTGATCATCATCAGTGATTCGACTCAATGAGAGGGTTGATGCATAGAGAGGTTGCTGAATGCAGCCAGCTCACCTTGAAGGATTGATGCCTTCAAATAAAAAACGGACAATAACTATATAAATTTCACAAGTAGAGCACAGCACTTTTTAAATCCTTCTCCACAAATCAGCCAACAGGGGACAGTTCGATGCAACAACGAAGTGTGTTAAACGGAATGGCACATCACCTGGTTATATGAAGGCAAAATCAGGAAGCGAAGAAGTATGATATGATAAGTAATGCACTACTTATAAGGTTGCTCGAACCCCTTCGACAGCCCACCAAATGTTTCGCCCGTCTGGTTCGGGCTTATCAGGTAGACGCAGTCCCCAGGTTTCCGTCAAACTCATGTTCTACTCGAAATTAGCCAACTACACCCATTTGGAAACAAATTTGGTTTTTCGTAAGACTCACTTGGAACCCAGCTGAATTTCTCGTTTGTGATGTTTCCAGGCGACTGAATGTGCTGCACCAGGCCGCCTCATGCTTCAGCCACTGCGATATTCGAGATATCACGATACATGTATATTTGTAATGCACTACTCATAAGGTTGCTGAAAATTCGCCGACAGCCCATGACCGGTTTCGCCTTTCTGTCTCGGGCTCATCAGGTAGGTTTGCAAATGAGTGTATTTTGTTAAGTTCGATATGAATTTTCCAAACAGGAGTGCTTAGAATGTCAACGGACTCGCAATAGCCGAAACTATTTTGATGACTCAGCAATTGCTTCGACAACTTAATTTCTAGCTATGATAAACAGGCGTCAATAACATACTCAGAAAAAGCCTGCTAATCTGCTAACTCGATAGTCTGATGACTGATGAATCTAGCCCGAATCAATAGCACTTGTCCGATGTTCAAACTAGTTACCCCCCACCGCTGCAGCAAGAAGTTGAGAAGGGTTTCTCCCATTCTGTGTCGTATTTTGTCTTTAATTTACTTTAATTTTTATTCTGTTATTATACTGATAACTCGAAGCGTGCCAAGTATCCACTTGAATGAATAAATGTCGACTCATGATTGCTCAGCTGGTATTTCGCATTACGCAGGAAGTAAAGCGATGATGCTTGTCTGCTGCCTTTCGCTTGGAAATTTGGCATCAAAGCACGTTTGTCTTGGATAAAGTGAGTTATGAATTGCGTGTCGACCGATTGATGAGATATTTCGGAAAAAAGGATGGTTGTGTGTCCCAGTATTCGCAACAGATCCCATGTGGTACTCCCTATCCTTCACGGGGGTCACCAAAACAAATATTTTTATAAGTAGCTTACGTACCACTGCGTTTTCGTACCCACATCACGCGTTAACCCACAAATGGAAGCAGTCTAACTCACCGCATGAAATCAGCACGGCAATACATTTGTCCTTCTTTGGTGTAACATCTATCCAATAGCAATATTCCACATGTGAAACAACGTAGACAGGCTTGATGCCATGACTGATCCACAACACGATGATAAAACGGGTCCAGTATAAGACTTCGACAGCCGGTGCATCGTACCGTATCGTTGACGTCATGGTCCACTTCAGAGGCAGTTCGGCGGGAACCAGGCAGGAAGGAGCTGGGGAAATTGGCCAATTGCATCAGGGTACTCAAAGCCGAGCAGGTTGTTGTTGTTGTTGTTGTTGTGGGGTGGTGGGGGAAATCAGCACGGCAATACATTTGTCCTTCTTTGGTGTAACATCTATCCAATAGCAATATTCCACATGTGAAACAACGTAGACAGGCTTGATGCCATGACTGATCCACAACACGATGATAAAACGGGTCCAGTATAAGACTTCGACAGCCGGTGCATCGTACCGTATCGTTGACGTCATGGTCCAATTCAGAGGCAGTTCGGCGGGAACCAGGCAGGAAGGAGCTGGGGAAATTGGCCAATTGCATCAGGGTACTCAAAGCCGAGCAGGTTGTTGTTGTTGTTGTTGTTGTGGTGGTGGTGGTGGTGGTGATTGTAGATATCTGCATAGGCTCTGTATTACTATTGTTCGCATTGCCGATAGTTGTGTGTATTCCGGGTGACGCCGGACTGCACTTAACCAGCATAGTGTTTCCGGTTGACAATGATAGACACATATGACCGTTCTCCATTGCATCATGTAGGGGCCAAAGTTCAGAACTGACAGTGGCAGTTGTCACTGTCATACTCTGGGCCGCCTGGCAGCAGCTTTGATTTTTTTAGCAATCGTCCTATTCCGTACACGCCACTGGCGCTTGTCCATCAGAACGAGCGAACAAACAAACGTGCCGTGTGTTTGTTGCGCCTTTCCGCCGATGCGCGCGGGCCAATCAAATTGCGATCACATTTAATCTGGAGGCTGATTGGTCAATCTAAGTCATCGCTGCCACACATAAGCATGCAAGCGTGAGGGCCAGTCAGCGCAAGGGATAGCAGCAACTGGTGGCTAATTCAACCACTCACACACCCACGCTCGCAAACACCCACCACGCTCTGTCAATCACTACCCCCTCCAAAGGTCCATTCTTTGCCTGCTTTTGTTCCGAATGCCACGTGCTGTCATACGAACACAGAGCTATCTGATTTGCGCAATCATTTCTTTCGTTCAGTCTAATTGAACGAGGAAAGTGATTTGACAGAGCTCACGCGTGCGCGTGTCAGTTTGTCGGAGATACCACAAGACTGGACAGCAGTTCCAGATAGAACGTCGTTGATTACGGTCGAATAAATAAGAGACGTTCAAAGTAAAATCACTCAATCAGCAAAGAGCCGCCTGACCAGAGAAGGTGGCGTTACTTGAGTAAAAGTTCATCCACATTGATAGACGATATAGTCCCACCTCAGTCATCCAGTCCGTTAGAATTGTCTTCAAAATCCAGAGCACTTTAGCTTTGACAGTTATCCCTTGACGATGGTTTTCCACAGTAGTCGAAACGTTACGAACTTTCCGAACGCAGCCGAGGTTTCAGAGTTGATGCGTCAACCACTGCTCTTAGAAATAACGTCACCAGCCTCTTCCTTTCCGATCGTCCATTGTCAGTGATTACTCAAGTACTTATAAAATTCTGACAGAATAAATACATCTCCTAGTTCGAGTGGAACCAGGACAACGGAAAAGTCCCCAGGGACTACAATTAATCCACATACCAAAGAGGTTGAGTTAAACTAAACGAGAACAGTGGGTTCCCCTGCAATGCTTTGGTGAATTTCATGAAAGATCGCTTTCGAAGTATTCCTTTAACCAACATCAGAATAATGCTTGAATGAGGCATGGTGGCAACATAGTTGCACCCTAGGATATATGTCCTCTTGTTAGTCAATTCGAATGGATCAAATATTCCCTCTTCTCTCACCCTCATAAGCGGGCCTTTTGCTACAGTAAGGTACACTGGTGAACCATCTTGGATGTAGCCGAAGCAACCAACTCCGGTATTTTCATTGTTTGGGTCCACGCAGCTCGCGATCACAGTGTATCCTAAGCTGACCTTAATTTACAGCACCGTTCACTCGATAAAGCAACCCGCCTGCTCAGCCCTGCTAGGTTCTTACCTAGCCCATTCTTCAGCTGGTCTCCCCCGGTGGACGTATGTGGGGTTGGTCACGTGACTGTCAGGCTAACGACTACAAGTAGCTGATGGTATAACAAAAGCATTCATCTATCAGAATAGTGCGGGCAACTAGGTTGGCGACTACTCGTGAGTAGCCAATTTGCCATAAAAGTAAATCATTACTCACACACCGAAATACAACGTTCCAACGACTAACTCGTCAATTGTTTGTATGGTCCGCCCGTTTTCGTCTTACATAGTGAATGCTTGTATAGCCCAAATTCACTTAAAGTTTGCTGTCGATGAGTTTTCTTTAATAGAATATGGGCATTGAAAAAGATTCCTGGCATTTGCCGGTGTTTTTCAAATTCCCATGGACTCACAGTGAAAATCCTTTAACAGATACGGAAAACTCGTTTAACCGAACGACAGGCACTCGACACACTTCAGTAGAAGCTAAAAATTGTAAAGATACACCCGGCTGTTAAGCAGTAGAAGTCCACACTCCAAGACAGCTCTTCTTCTCCAGAAGGACCTCCAAAGGACAAGGCAGGTTTTCCCTACTTGAGAGATAACCACACCAAACATGTACAACCAAAATGAAGCTTGAAGGCGTCGTGCAACGAGGCAATACCTACGGAGAGTTATAATGGGGGATGGGGTTTTCAGAAAGTATGTCACGTTACTGATTCCGAGTGGTGGGCTTGTGGGCGAACGGGCTCAGGTTACTAACTAATTCACTTTCGCCCAAGGCCTGATATACACGTTGCCCTGAGGTTTTATGCCTTGTTTACTGACGTATGCGTAAAGCGACACCACCAACCGATATACATCACTCGATGGGAGAGGAAACAATGACCGTATTGAAAGGGGGATCAAGTCAGGCCACATCGCAGCCAGTCACCAAGTACGCCGATGTTGTCAGGAGACGGGACCGTGTGAGAGACTTGTCGTTTTTGCAGATGTCGAGTTGGAGAACAGCGGTGTTACACTAAGGGACTTTGAGGGAACGATACGGAACCTTCAATAAAGAGACCTAAAATAGTCTTACTGCATGTTTGCGTCAGTTAACCTTGTCTGCATATCAACATCATCATCATCATCATCATCAGCATCATCATCATCATCATCATCATCATCATCATCATCATCCGAATCATCATCGTCACCACCATCATCGTCATCATCATCATCCGAATCATCCGAATCCGAGTCATCCTAATCCGAATCATCATCATCATCATCATCATCATGCTCTTCCTCCTCCTCCTCCTCCTCCTCATCATCATCATCATCATCATCATGCTCTTCCTCCTCCTCCTCCTCCTCCTCCTCATCATCATCATCATCATCATCATGCTCTTCCTCCTCCTCCTCCTCCTCCTCCTCATCATCATCATCATCATCATCATGCTCTTCCTCCTCCTCCTCCTCCTCCTCCTCATCATCATCATCATCATCATCATGCTCTTCCTCCTCCTCCTCCTCCTCCTCCTCATCATCATCATCATCATCATCATGCTCTTCCTCCTCCTCCTCCTCCTCCTCCTCATCATCATCATCATCATCATCATGCTCTTCCTCCTCCTCCTCCTCCTCCTCCTCATCATCATCATCATCATCAACGACAACAACAACACCAACATGAACAACATCATCATTATGAGCGACAGAGAAAGCTTTAAACAATAGTGCATGCTGGCGTTTGGCAGCCATAATATATGGTGAAAACTGCGATTCAGCTGATGTCATTACGCAACAGCCGATGTGGCACGAAGGTGTACTTTTATCTGCAAAGTTCATGTTTGAATGTGGGCTGAGGAATTGCCAAATGATGCAGACCTTGACAGGAGGACGATTAGGCTTCGCATCCACAGCTTTGGTCGCAAAATCCGCACGGCAACGGCCGTCGATTTTGGAATAATCGGGTAGCCTAAATTTTACGGAGTAAAGTGCCACGGATGTTCCAATCCCCAAGACTACCGTGTTCGGTCAACGTGTTCGTGGCCAACCCGGTAAGAATCGAACTCCTAGCACCCATCGTCTTCAGTAATTCTTTGGATTACGTAAAAGAGTGTTTTCAGCAATTTTTATAAGACTCGTGAGCCTAAAGTAGGTGGTGAGGTCTATGGGGGAGCGTCCGTGGCAGCAAGCATGACGTACAAATGCAGTTAAACCTCTCCATAAGTTGACTTGAACAAATGACTTTTTCCAGCTCCACTTAGTTCCTCGTTAGAATTCTTAGCCTTTTTATCACCTGTGCATCGGACGGAATTTCGTTACGGAGAAAAATCGCATCAATGAACAAGTACAGGGCGAAATCGGACTGTCCAGTCCTAATGCACTACTCATGTGGTTGCTGAAAATTCTTCGACAACCCACGACCGGTTTCACCCTTTCTGGGGCTCATCAGGTAGGCTGTCCATTTTTCAGAAGACTTCCGGAAACTAGTCATATATTTACTCGGGTTTTTCAGCTGCATTTTTTCGCTAAGGAGATGAACAACCAATCAGCCAGATGAGTGTGAAATTAAGTTTCTGATAACTATTCACAATATAGCTTGTAAAGTCCAATGCAGCACCTGGCATTTGCGTTGAAGGATTCAACTCAGAACAAGGCTTGGCAGAATCATATCGCTTCTGGTATCAGTCCAGTCGCATTTGAGTTCAATCAGTGTGTGTCATAAAAAGGGGAGACAAAATAAGACGAATAGGTAACTGTTTTTGAGGCAACAAGGTACTGAAGAAACTACGCCTGTTTTTCGATTTCCAACTTTCTTGTAGTCCAGGTGAATAGGTTAACTCAAACTCATAGTTCTTGTTAAGTCAAGGATAATTCGGGCTCCAGATAGCTCAGTGTTCAAGGCTCGAGATTACTCACCGGGAGGTCCGCCGTTAGAACCCGGGATCTTGACTGCTCCTGTCTAAGCTTGGGCAACTTCAAATTATCTCAGCCCTGGTGCCTCCCTCACGCGTCAAGACAGCTGCAAAAACGGCAAACCAAAATCGCACACTTTCAAATAAGGTCACGCGGAGTACCTTGTCATTGTGGCTAAGGAACTATTTAGCGTGCAGATGAAAAAAATCACCTGGGTACGAAAAAATGATCGGAAGTTGAGAACAATCCAAACGGGTCCGTGGAAATCGAGTATGCGGTTTCTTTGTACAATAAGCATTCTCGACAGTCTCTGAAGGAGCACTTTTGGGATTACTACAAGTTTTTTTTCAAGACGATAAATGTGAAACACAACTAAGATTAGAAAAACGGGGCTGACCCAAAATCAAGAGAATGAGTGTCCTGGGGGTAACATACTACTCAAAGGTTGCTGAAAATTCTTCGATCATTATAAAGGAGAGATTCAGTCCTCCATCAAAACCAACTCCGTGTGCAGATAATCAATGGTAGGGATGAATGTCCCCAATGAATTCGTTTTGAATAAGGTTATAAGATGTACAAAGAATGCGACTAAAGATAACGAAGACGAACAGATGGCCTCATATATTCCCGATAAACTTGTGGCAAGGAAGTACTTCCGACAAGATTATGAGAATAAAGCTAAATAGGCTTAGTCACGGTCCCCGTATGAGAGGTCAGTTTTTGTTGGTCTAGTATAGAAAATATACTGCGACATCGCAAGCAGCTGAAACACGAGGTGACAGAACATTCGTTTGGAGAACATCATCAACCAGAGATTCGACTGACATTCAGGCGAACTTCCCGTTAAGAATAAATAGATGTGTTCAGTTAGAACATGCGGTTGACGGAAGCTCGGGGAAGGCGTCTGCCGGACGAAATCCAAGATGACAGAAGCCGGTCGTGGACCACGGAAGCGTTTCCATCAACCTCATTACTAGTGTTCCGTCAGGAACATATACTGCGGCGTCTCGAATACTGCTCCGACTATGACACGAGGCCGTGCAGCACATTCATCTGGAGAATATGCTAGACTAGAGTTCCGGCTGAGAATCAGTACGCTCCACCATCTGATGTATTTCCTTGGCTTCATGAACATCGGTGCTAAATTTCTTCGGAATAAAGTACGCTTTCCGTCTCATGACCTTCCCTACAATGGCACTAATCACGCACGCAACTACATGATCTCTACAGTGTTCCCTCTGAAATGGCACCGCTCCTCCAATACAACCAAGCCTTCCTGTAATTGGAGGTCACAACAATGAGGCCGAAAAGGTATTGAAGAAACGCGCATCTTCGTCAGTATCTGATACGAGAGCGAACACTCAGAGTCGAAAAAAAACTGGAACAACTATACATGAGGAAATACACGAGGAAACAGAGCAGGACGTTTCAACCTTCCACTGAAAAGCGAGAACTGAAAACACCTCAAGCGGATTTGTTCTAGATTATTGATCCGGTAAATTAATCGATCATATGCAAAAGAAAACTGCTTGGGCCATTTGCCAATCCGACCGCTATGTGGTTCAATTAAGTAGCAACAAATAAAATTGCTGTTTTTTTTGGACAAACACAAACAATCCGTTAGGCGGATAATCCCCTCCGATGACAAATCCTGAACTACTATTATCAGTAGTCTACTCGGAAGTCACTACTCACAGGTCACATGATCCTTCCATATGAGAAGTTGTTACTCAAGAGACCAATCAACACGTGATGATGTTATATCATCATCATTGGCTAGCTGCTTGTGTTCACCCACTGACCGAAGGTCGCTAGTTCGTGGGGTGCGCGCCGCCCAAGATTCCCATCATTGAAGAGACATTGCTTCTCGGCTTTTCAGTACAGATTTACTTCAATTGCGGTACGAAATCTCCATTAAAGATTCCCAAAGTGAAGGTCTCAGATGAACTGAGTCCGTTTGAAACATGATTTTCGTTCAATAAGTGCCTTGTATACGTACTTTCTAGCACATTAGTGCACTACATTACTGTTTCCACTGGGAAACCGGCAAATTCTCTTCATTTATCACACAGGGCTCCGGCGAACCTTACATAACTCAAATCTATCAGACTTAATAGATATTGAATTCCCTTATTTCTGTGTGACTGGAGGTTCAACCAAAAAACAAGCCCAGGATCCAAGAGGTTATGAGGACTTTTTATTTCACCTAACTCACGGGTTTACATGTTTTATGTCTGCTGATTCGTCAATCTGTGGTATCTGCTGCTGACCCACTCCAGTGCCTAGTGCCGGAGAAAAAAGGCTCACAGAAGGGAACACAATAACTATATTCCGAACAAGCGAGTGCGAGAGCAAAAGTTACAGCGGCCCCACGCTATTTAAAAGGGACTTTCTGACATTGATACAGGCTGTCTGATGGGCGTTAGTGAACACCCATCAAAATCGATCGTGCCTCTATGAAATGCCTGAACGATGATCACATTCGGTCATGCTTCTGTGGCGTGCATGAACACCCATCAGCTTTTGCTAAATTGATTGAATGATTGACTGACCTGGATGCTTGCCGGCTTTCCTGTTGAGATTTTCGTGGAGCAGTAAATTTCGGGCGTTCGGAGGTGACGTTCAGGGATGTGACCTTCCTGATAACATGACTTGATAAAAAAGGAGACCGAAACGAGCTCACAGTCAATACCGCAGATAAAACCGTAATGCGATAGTGTTCTTCAAATTGGACATACTGTCGACTGATGGGCTCCTCTCGTTTCTAGGAGACAAGTTTGCTTCAATTCCCCATTGCTTTTTCGAAAGTCGCACCTTCATTCAGTAGTTCCTTGATACCATCTTTGTTCTTGACCGTGAGCCTTATGCATCCGAGACCCTTGGACTACTCTGTTCTGCCCAGGTAGTGACCATATCATTGTCTCTGTCGGAGAGATATAGACGACCCCGTGAAGAAAACATTAACAAAACACTGTGTTGCTACGAAATAAGTTAGATGACAAGTATGAAATGCATTCAGCCACAGATCGGAGGTCATTCCTGGTTTTTGGCGTTTTTGGGTCGAACAAGGTTCACTTCATGGACTGCGCCTACCTGATGAGCCCCAAGATAGGCGAAACCGGTCGTGGGCTGTCGACGAATCTTCAGCAACCTTATGAGTAGTGCATTACAAATATACATGTATCGCGATGTCTCGAATGTCGTAGTGACTGAAACATGAGGTGACCTGGTGCAGCACATTCAGTTGCCTGGAAACATTACAAACGAGAGATTCAGCTGGGTTCCAGGTGAGTCTCTCGAAAGACCAAATTAGTTTGCGCATGAGTCTATATTCGGTAACATTCACCCTGTTCAGACAGCGGACATTTGGGTGGATGCACCCAAAGTTCACTTCTCTATATATATGAAAATTCGGCCCTATGTGCTTGTCGCGGTTGTTTTTCCGGTCTTCTACTCAAGGAAGAATAATTTCAACTAAGGGATTTCACTAAAAGCAAGGGGTCACGCTGCAAAATCGAATCACAAAGTCGTCCCAATCGGTACGTTTGCTAAATAAGGGTTTGTTATAAACAAATATCAATTCATTAGATTTTTGAATTTTTAAGGATCTGCGCATTAAAAATTGCCACAGCATAAACAATGCTTAAGAGATAAGTTTGTCTCATATTGATGCAAGTTAGATCACCTGAAGTGTTGGTCACGTGATCGGCTTGCACCATGTCGACTTTGCCTGCACCTATCGATCAGCCAATCAGACACGAGTTTACGTGTTTTCTAATTGGTTGTCCATCAGTCGTTGTGCGATCCGTCTTTCGTACGGTTATGTCAGATCAACACGGAGCCGGCTCTCGGTATTCTTTCTGTCTCACATAATCCAACTTGTGGCGAAGGGATCGGTTGAAATTTGTCTCTCCGGAAGGTTAGGTTCTCTTAACATTTGTCTCTTCAAAGGAGGAACGTTGGTATCAGTAACAAGGGACTTCTAAATAAACAAAGTGTAGTGGACGAACACGATCCACTTATTGGCCCATTTTTTGTTCAGGTGACCAATGGGTGAATCACCACAAGTACCGAATGCAATCAGTTTTTTTCGATTACTTTGTGTGTGGGCTATTCAGTCGAATAGAAGTGAAAATATAGGAAGTTTGCTTAGCAACTAACACTAACAAACTGCTCGAATGATCGAAAGAAATTTAAACGACAGAACCTCTCTGGTTTCATTCAATGGCTTAGGAGGATCTGTTAGCGCTCGATCGCCAGAACTTGCATGGATGCAGTGCATCTTTCCAGGACCAGGTAGAGCTTTCCAGAATATGATGTAAGTAGATTAGCCTTGGTAGCATAACCTTTGTGCCTGCTCGAAAGATCTAACCTACTGCACACTCGGTAATTAATCGCGCGGACCTTTCAGTCTGTTCAGCGTGATTAGGTCATTTTTCATACGAACAAGCGAATGAATTCAACCGGCACACCGATACTCGTCATGTACGCACGCATGACCACCTCTTGGGTGTGAAGACCACCGTCACCAACACCGTCCAGCTCGATTTGTCAAGCCACAAACCGAGCTTTCGGATATAGGATGCCTCTTTATCTCGAACAACCAGCTTCGGACAATTCTTCAACGTGGCGAAAAGCGTGAAATTCAATTAGCACCCTGTGTTTTTGTTGACGTACATGTGTTATTGTTGTTGTTCTCGCCCCTAGTTTTGTGTGTGTGCACGCGCCTGAACGCCAGAATTAGTGATGCATTCACCGGCTTGTTGTTGTCAGCATGCATGTGTGCGTCCATCCATAACCTTTTCCAGTTTCATACCACCGCGAAGATAACCTCATACCACCACTGTCTTTTCCACTGCTGACGAATTCATGTGAAACTTCTCTCTTTTGCCCTCTCCGGAACTGAATCGATTCTGAGCGATTCGGATGCAAGTTCGGATAGATGAGGAGCGAACCTGACATAACAGCCAGGTCCAACTAGCCTGGAACACAACTTACCTATGGGCAGTTGTTTCTTTTGTCATCGCCCCCCCCCACAAACCTTAAGCGTTTTCCGCCGGAGACTGGTGACGATGGTTTGCTTGGTTTGTTTAGTATAGTTTTCTTTCCACCTTTCTCTTTAACGTCCATGCTCACTCACACACACACACACAAGCATACATTCCATTGTTTGTGTATCGTTATATCATGCTCATACGATTTTGTGGTTTTCGGGCCGTGCGCCCCACCCCAGTTTGCCCTCAAGGCATTTGGCCATGACAGGAGTTGTTTGAGGCTTTGGGGGGGGGGGCGAGCAATTGTCCGACTAGTACATATGAGTACGATCAGAATCATAACTTCGTTAACTTAATCATCTTCATCGGTGCGAGGATTTTGGGGGGGGGGGGGAGGGTAGCCCTCTATAGGTCTATCTGAAAACAGGCCGACTAGACGAGCCCATAGGCCCTCATACACTACTCTTGAAAAGCCTCAACAAAGCACGTATTTTTGTTGGCAGCTTGGGGATTCTTTCGTTACCAATGCTGAAAAACCTAGAAGTACTGTGCAAGTGTTTCATCCTTGTTGGGAATTATCAGCAGTGGAGATCACATAACTGTTTGGGGAGGTTGCAAATCCGTGACCTTCCAGTTATCAGTAGTTAAACGCCATAACATTCGGCCACGGGTGGTTGACCAACATTGTGACTAACTTTCGCATAGACAGAATTGATTCCGCTCGTCCATCCAGCACGTGTGCTAACTGGTTCTTAGGTGGCAATCTAATGCGACTCGTGAGTTATATNTGCATGCATCTGAGCGATCGGTTGGAAAACTGTGCTCGATACCTAATTTTCCTAAAGCAACAGTCAAAATACGACGGTTGTGCAGACAAATCCCTTCGTGGCGATCGATTGACCAGTCTAAAGTAGTTGCTCCAGAGGAACAGGGGATCCAGAGCTTCTTCCAATTGCCTGGATGGGAATACATATTAATATACCCTCGACGGTCATTCTCGAACTTTAGATGAGGGTCATTGTGACTGGTGAAATGGGACAAAGAGTGGTTCTCCGTCGCCACTAAAACTGACGAGAATGCTGCTAGTAGCTACCTGGCTATAGTCCTCAGGTTGCCGGAATGTGTGTATATGTATTTGTCCTCTTTGAGGCCTACTGACTGATCCACACTAGCCCTCAGCAGATGACCGTAACTGGTACGCAAAGGTGATCCAAACGCTGCTCTGATTACATAATGTATGCTTTGACAATTAGTGTATACGCACACAGTTCGGGCCGATTCATTCTTGGTTCTCCCTCCAGTAAGGAGTAGGCCAGCAACACGGAAAGTTTTACGACAATGACTGTGCAGGGTCTTTGGCAGGCCGAACATAACAGATTAGATTAGAAGTTCGCTTGTTGCGCTGGAAAACATTTTGGAAAGGGCTTCACCTCGCTTCAAATCAAATTTCATTCGATTTCTTATGTTTTGTCTCCCTAAAAGACCTCTCAAAGGCCTCGGACGCATTTTTCCCGAAAACGATTCGTTGTACTGATGACACCGTAACATCTCCATCCTTTGCAACAGCTGGTTGAGTCGCTCTTGTATCACGCTGATTTTTTAATTCTTCAGTTCAAAGTTACAGGTGGCTCAATGTGAACAGGAACCTTTCGATATCATCATCATCATCATCTCATCATCATTCATCATCATCATCATCA